CACATATGTGTTTAGAGCTGTTTAAACGCTGCTTGATCTGTGCAGATTTCTCTCCTGATTCACACCAGAACACTTTTTCACAGGAGGAAGCGTTATTATGGATTATGGATTCAATGTATTTTAGTTAAAACGTCTTAATGCTGGATTAGTTTCAACTTTTGTCTTCTCCAGATGTTAACTGATGGACTGGAGTGCTGTGGATTACTTGTGGATTATTGTGATGTTTGTATCAGCTGTTTGGACTCTCATTCTGACGGCACCCATTCACTGCAGAGCATCCATTGCTGAGACACTGATGCAATGCTACATTTCTACAAACCTGATGAAGAAACAAACTCATCCTGATCTTGGACGGCCCTGAGTATGAGCACATTTTAATCTCGGCTGAGCTACTGCTTTAATGTAATACGAGGAGTGAAGGGTGCTGTTACTCTGTGGTCGTCTCCTCCTTCAGCGCAGCGTCACAGGCTCCAGGTTTGTGCATGATGCTGTAGGGAAACGCGGCACCGCTGCAGGCGCTGTAGCTCAGTTTGCTCAGGCGCGACTGGCTCCTGATGCTCCCTGGCGGGCGACCGGGACTCACTTTATACCCCGCGGCTTTGGTGGTGCCCAGCGGCCGCCCCGGACTGGTCTTGAAGCCGGCGGCCCTGGTGGTGCCCAGAGGTCTGCCTGTGCTGGTTCTGTATCCGGCTGATTTGGTGGTGCCCGCCGGACGACCGCGTTTCCCAGACCTCCCTGACGCACTCTTCTTCTTGGAGTCGCTGCTCTTGTCGTTGGCCTGAGCGGCAGCGGGCCCCGGGGACAGCGGTGGCTCCTCGTGGCATGGCGTGGGTTTGAGGATGGCTGGAGGAGGCAGGTAAGCGAAGCACATCTGTCGAGGCCGCTGCGGAGGAGAAGACTGATAGAACTTGGTGGGGCACAAATCAAAGTGGCTCGGCGAGAGTCTCCCGTCCTCGGCTAAACACGACGGCCTGCTGTCCACACAGAAATCACTGCCGGCCCCGGGCCCCTGACGCATCATCTTCTGCTGACAGATGCCAGGAGAGAGAGGATAAAGATCCCATGAAACCAGACTCTTTTTTAATGCTTTTAACCGCATATACAGTATGTGACCCTGGAGCACAAAAGCAGTCTTAAGTCGCTGGGGTATATTTGTAGCAATAGCCAACAATACATTGTATGGGTCAAAATTATACA